TATAAATAAACCTTTTGAATCTAATTAGCTGGTATTTACCTGAGAAAGGACACAGTATATACCCTCTAAATCTTTCTATGTTCTACACATTTTCAGATTTGGTTCAAAGATACTACACTATGGCTTTATCTGTATACTAGCAAGTCTGGTTACCCAAGATGCACATATTTTCTGCTCTTGTAAGGTTCATTTCTACCCAGTACCCACATTCAGACTTTTTTTCTTTCACAGATTCTTTACCAGTCTTTCTCTTGTTTTTAGCCAGCAACCCAGAAGGGTTAATCTGCCCAGGTTTTAGGTGCTTATAGTTTTCTTTCTCTTAGTACATGCTTTCAGAGCACATGTCTTTTTCCTCTAGTTGGTAATCTGGCAGTTTGGCTAGTGTGTCCCCCACTTTTACTTGGTTCTTTAGTCTTAGTTTCCAGTTCCGAATTCAGTCTTCTTGTGGCACTATCAAAAATTTCCACTACTCCTTACTTAGGTCTTTCCAAACAGGTTTTGATCATCCTGGTTTCTTGGCATTTTTATGCCAAAGCTTCTATAACAAGATGGTGCAACTAAAATTACAAATTGTAGATCCAACCGATTGATGGATAATCATTACTGAATACAGGTTTAATTTTTCAAAATCGTCATCTATGGGATTTGAACTCTAGACTTGCTGCTTGGAGGGGTAACAACTAGACCACTTTACTGAGCTGCCACACCCTCTCTTTATCTCTTAATAATAACTAATATATAATATATTCTACTATATACAATATGTAGAAAACCTCTTCTATTAGGAAATATCCTTATTTCTTTATTACCAGACCTGCTAAAATGAAAAAATATTTCTATTATTCCAAATTTTTTTTTACTTGCAATCAAAAAACTTTAATTACCTACTCATGGGACCTACTGGTATAGCTGCTCACAATAGATAAAAAAAATACTATATTCTATATTGCAAATTAAATTCAATAATAGACATTATGAAACTCTCATTTACTCAGATAGTAATAGTGAAACTAACCTTAAAAAAATAGAATTCATAATAATAGAAGAAATATCAATAGTAGATAGTGATCTTTTTACATTTATCAGCAACACCTTTGCAAAAATTTACAATAATAACCTTGTGTTTGGCGGTGTACCAATCTTGGTAGTAAGCAACCTAGCCCAACTACCATCTATTAATTCAAAATATATATTCCAATCTCCTGCCTGGTTTTCTTTCTTTTCTTTTTTTTTGAATATTCTACAAAGAAAATGAGATGATCTTAACTTTTACAATATCCTTCAAAAAATTTGCATAGGCAGACTCTCTGACAGATTACTCTCTATTATCCAATCAAACATCAACAAAGACAATGATCCTATACAATTCTATAACACCACTCACATCATAGATGCACATCTCAAATCCCAAAACATAAACCAACTACTATGCACCTACCTCTCTTTTGATCAAGAATCCTCCAAACCTTTTATCTCTTTGTCAAAAGACACTATTGACTTCAACCAGTTAGACCACAATCATCAATACTCTCAATTCAAACACTCCACAAACCTACCAACCTCCATACACCTTCAAGAAGAAGCTCGTGTCATGTTCCTAAACAATAAATTATTTAATGATGATATATGTAATAGATCTATTGGAATTATAACAAATCTTGTTAATATAACAATGTTGAAGTAACCTTCCCAATTTTCACTAATATTGCCAAAGTCATAGTGCAAAAAGAAACCTCATATTTCTACATTGACAGAAAAAGAGCCTCAAGAAAACAATTCCCTCTTCAGAACGCCTTTGCTTTAACCACCCATAAAGTCCAAGGTCTAACATTACCTCATGTTATGACCAGTGTAGACGAAATGATATTTGCTGAAGGTCAGGCATATGTTGCAATGAGTCATGCCACTTCGTGGAACACTCTCAATCTATTAAACTTTAACCCTAGATACTTAAAAAGCCCAAAAGCCACATTAAAAGAATACATTATTACAACTTCAAGGATCTATCATGTCACATGCAATTACTAAATACGTACTTCGTCATGACCGTTACACCGCATTTTTCTACCCTTATGATATCATATGTATCATCCGTTTTCATTAACCCTTATTCTGCTTCTGCTTACTGTAATTACCCTTATTACTTATATCCACTAAACCTTACCAACATCTAATTCGAAATACGTAGTACATTTCATGTCGCTGTTTCACGTACACATAACATTAATTTATCATTCGCATCTACTTAAACTTCCACCCTGCGCTTTACTCACTGCAACTGCATCCTGTACCACGCGAACCTTGTTACAGTACTTAACAAATTCAATTTCTGATGCGTTATGAAAATTAATCAAACTAATGCATAAAAACTTTATTTACAGGTTTTTATTTGCGTTAGTTTGATTTATGCGAATAAGAAATAGTACGTACGTACATATCGATATTTGGTCGCATGACTACATGATTTATACGTAATTTTTTCCAGTTTTATATATGAAACACTTTCTTAAGACATCCCCGCATCTAAAGTGATACGAATATTTAAATCTGGCAAGTTCAATAAATAAATTAGGATGAAGGCGTCTACCTAAATTTAGACGCACCAGTTCTGGTTCGAATTTAATAATGCCTATAAGTACTTAATTACTGTATATCGACATAGTTTTGGCAGGGATGTTACTGGAGACTTTTATAAATGTTCAAAACCCATTTACCAGTCTATTTACAAATATTAGCGAATACGAGTTTCCATTTCATATAATGTCCTATCAAAAGTACTGCTACCAGAAGGTTGCAAAATAGCTTTAGAAGCCATAACTCTATCAAATAGTTGATTTTCTACCCTTTTTCTAATTTTATTCTCTTGGATTTCTTCTTTAATAACGCTACATAAAAAAGAAAAAAATTCATTATTATTTATTCTATATATTCTGAATGTATTCAATCAGGAATTAGCATCGGGAAATTTTTCTTAGTGCAGTTCTGCGCAGCTTTGCAAAAAAATTAAATAATAAATCAAATGAAAATCTGCACAAAACTTCAAAATAATAACTATATATGCAGAAATTAAATACAATTCTGTAAAAAACTTCAAATTCTAGAAAATTTTACAGATTTTTTGCAAAAAATCTGCAAAAATCTGCAAAAATACAGATTTTTGCAGATTTACACTTATTTAATTTCCCCGTTGTAGTTAAACTTACTTGCAAATGTGATCCAAGTTCAAATCATTATCATCATAACCAAACGGATCCTCGATTTCTTCACCGATTTTTTCAATACCAAATAAAATAAAGGATACAATTAACACTACAGGAATAGTAACATAATGCATTGTAGAAACTAGTTGAAATGGTAAGCTAACACAATAAATCCAAACTGTGTGTGATAAATGAATTGCATAAGCCAAGGGAATTGGCGTGTTCAAAATTCTTTCAAATCCAGATAAACAATCGATAAGTGTGTTCAAATTAATATATAAAAGGTTAGCTGTTGGTTGATCAATGATATTATTGTTAAATTGTTTATCAACGTATGAAGTAAGATAAAGCGAGATTGCTAACGGCAAATTGTAATTTTTAGGTTTTTGTTTCTTAGATTTGAATTTTCTTTTAACCCATTTAAAAGCTTTTGATCCTAAATTATGTTTTCCTTTTCTTTCTTTCTCGATAACTTTAGCTACTTGTTTAGTTAGTGGCACAAAATTTGGTGTATCAATACTGATACTTGAAATAAAAGGTTTAAGATCATCACACTCGGTTCCTTCTTCACGAAGGTAATGCTTTGTGGAAAATACGAAACCTATGAGAAGGTCGATTGCTGTCTTTTGTTCTAATAAACCATCATTGTTTTTAGAGTCAATATTTATGCAGAAGTGACGTACGAGGCCTCTGATTGCAAATATCATTTTTGACCAAAGACGTCTCCCCTCATCATATCTAAAGTGATGATACTTTTTAGATAACAACCTTCAACAACTTTAAAAAAAGATAAATAAATAAAATTATACTTGCCTATCATAGGAAGTATTCGTTCTATAAGTTAATAACAGTCCAACTACAATACTGAGCACGGGTGTTAAAGCTGTGGAAACGCTTAGGTTGATATTATAACGTTCATAAAGAAGACACACAATTCCAGAAATAATAGTTGCGATAAATACTGAGGG